TTTATATATATATATATATATATATATATATTTTACATTGGGATCCAAAAATGGGTTACAACATATAATGATGGATTTATATAAAAAAAGTTAGGTTATATATATATAAAAAATTAACCTAACCAAAATCTTTTTTTTAAAAAAATTTTATATCTGTCATCCACGCATAATAACTCTAAAGCTTGGTATAGATTAGAAGATTCTTATTCTTAACAACAGAATATTTATGGATAATTATTTTAATATTTAATCAATTGGTAGAAAGTATATATCTTATTAATTTTTCATTACTAAATTATCTTACAGTTAAATCATATGTTTAGATAACGTTAGCGTATATTCAATCTCAACACTTATGAATAAATAAATTGCATCTGGTTTCATGTGTTTTTTCAGAGATTCCTAAACTCAATGACGTCTCGATCTTGTTTGCTTACCAAAGAAGGGCGGGGGAGCATGCGTGTGTGTCAAGATTTTCAATTAAAGTTTGATACGCTGTTCATCCTTTTCTTGTTTTCTAAAAAGGGAATGGATTTGGAATGTAATATATAACAAAGGATTCTTATTTTCAATTACCACTTATTAACAAATAATAGAGATAGCACAGAGATTGGGATAAATGGGGAGAGAATTGGCATGCATAAAAACGAGGGAGTTCAGATATCATATTCCTGGGTATGTAGAGTTTAGTTTTTCTAATTTTAGTGTATAGAATAAAATATTTTAAGATAAGATAAGATATTTCGTATTATTGATAAATTTCTTAATAAAACTAATTCAATAGTATATTTGTCAGGCGAGTATTGTGTTCGTGCTTTTTAGTTATATGGTAGTCATGGAGGGTTCCATGCAGTGGTGGCTGCAACTTCTGTGATCTGTATTGGGTTGGGCTCGGAGAGCAAGCCCTGAATAGGTACTGTTTTGATGGTCTATGTTGAGCTGCTCAAGAGGTTGGACTTCATCGGCGAAATCCCTGTAATATTCTTGAGCCTAGAAGCATTTCTTCTGTTGTCAGCTCATGCTTCAGGTCCCTTTTTCTTTTTGGCACTGCTTATTTGAGAAGAGATTTGGAACAATCGCAATCCAATCCCAGGCAGCTTTTAAAAATGAGCACGCACATAACGTTCGATCTTGCTTTGATCTAAGTCTTCAATTTGTGCAGTTCAGTTAGGTAAGAAAAGAATTGCTAAGTACATAACGTTGGACAGCAAAAACAAAAGCGTGTAACAAAATCTTGATTATTCCGATCCACCAATTCCCTTTCCGTATTGATGGAGGATAAATCTTCCACATTAACTTTTCTGGGAATTAACAAAAGTTTATCCGTAAAAGTCAAAACCACCATCAGTTATTGTACACCTATGCAGTCTAAATTATGATTTAAAAAATATATATATATATTAATTTAATATATTTTCAAATTATGATTTAAAAAATATATACATTAATTTAATATATATTTAAAAAAAAAATAATTGCCACATTCACAAATACTGCGTGTAATAATTTTTGTATATTAAGGTTTCACTTAGTTCAAGTCAACTTGTGTTATAAAATATACTTGCCTATAAATAATTTTGAGTTTGCATTAAAATTTATTCTAAAAATAAGTTAAAATCTTGATGTAATCAAGAGTTAAGATTTTTAATTTCGATTTTATGAATTCTATTTATTCTTCAAAAAAATTCAATAGTTTTTTTTAACTAAACGTACCAAACCTAATCTTATTAATGAATATCAACTTTTAAATTTATAATTCAAAATCAAATTTTCCTTTATAAGCCATGTCAAACTAACTCTGAATGAATAAATTGATGGAGGCTATTGATTGGCACAGCAAGACAAGTTACCGGTATTTCTGCGACAAAAAAGTGGAAATGTCACGCTCTGGGCAATATTTGCTCTTAGATTAGGTAAATCATTACGTTGATGGCTGTATAAGATTATTTCTGTTATTGCTTTCAAAGAACTGATGGTTTTTGCAGGATTACTATGAAATCATAAGCACAAAACAATTTACAATCTGGGGAGAACAATTCACTCTCAAATAATTTTTTTATGGACACATTATAATTTAAGCAGTTAATTAAACTGCGTTCCTGCATTTACTCACACGTTAGTTGTCTTTGCATTTGTGCTTCTGCTAAGGAAGACGTTAGTCCATATAATGGGAAAATGAAAAAAGATTACGACTCTACATGGGGGTTTCCGACACTTCACTCCACAATGACACTAGAACGAAGAAGAATGAAAAGTCGTACAATATTCCAGCAGCTTTCTGCGTTGAAGATTTAAATTTCTTCAGTTTCTTTCTTGCTTAAACTTGGTGAAAAGTTGCACAACATTCCAGCAGCTTTCCGCATATGTCATTTTATTGGGGCACACAACATACTGAGTTGCAAAGGCTGGCTAGTGTACTGTTAGTACCTATTTCCACGAACCTGCAGATTAAAAAAGCAATGATTCAACTGATTAGATTTGGAGTAATTCGCAAGTTTGATATATTTAATCTGTTTAGTGGTTTGTCCTCTAATACATAATGTATTGTCGTGATTTAATTAAGGATGGGTGATGCTTACTTCAAATCCAACATGAGAACTGCAATAATTGGTGTTTGTGAGCACTGTACTTGTGGATCCGCACTCACTATCTCTAAGTGATACTGTTGTTCTGTCAAGCTTAATTGACCATGGATATATATAGCCTTGAGCTGTGGCTCCAACATTGGAAGACGACCGCTGCATCCGCATAGGCCTTGGGACATTCCTTCCCTCTATTGATGCCCTCCTCCTACTTGGTTGCCTCTCAAATGAGTCTGGCCTTTGTTTTGGTGCACTATGTGACCGAACTTTGGCCCTGAAAGATTCTGTGTTTGCCATGTAATTTGGAAATGGGTAGTCATAGGACAGAGATTCTGCGTACTCTGGCCTTGGTAAGGCGAATGGAATTCTTGATGGATCAGGTTTTGATACTGCAGAGGAGTACTGAGGGCTGCTGATTGTTGTGCTGAAGGAATTTTCCTCAAAATACCCACTGCAAGCTCTGGGGCTCATATCTGTTAGAGCTGATGGAGCTGGAGAGATCTGGTGGTTCTCTATCTTCGAGTACGCATGATTTGAGGCATAATGTGTGGAAAATCTATGCTCTGTTAGATCTGTTTGTGGACGATGAGAGTAGCCATTTCTGCTCTTTATACTTCCCTTCGATTCTCCAACATCCACCTCTACAATCTTGATGTTCTCCTGATCCATGCCTCTATCATTCTCCTACGTGTACCGAAACAGAATGGCAGATCGCTCATAGTGGATTCGAAGTACTAATTTTATATACGTGAATAACTGTTACATATGCTTGCCATTGACAATGTCAGAAATTCCAGAAAACAATTTTCCCAGAAAAAAGAAGGAAAAATTTAGATAGTTGCATCTTGATGTAATGTTAGCAATGAACTAAGAATAAAGGAAAGATTTTGTTCTGCTACTTTTAGATGAGAATACTAAATATTTTATTATTCATTAAGACCACGTATATAGAACCACTTTTTTGAATTGAAGTCCTGACAGTGTCCTTATTCTTCGTTAATAATTACTGTCGAATAAAAATGGAAAGAAAATAGTTACGAAACATGTTTTTAAGCATGAAATGCAATCTTATGTTTTTCCATTTATGAATTAATCTGACTCGTACCTTGTCGAATGAATGCATACCTCGTCTGTTTGATAACAGAAAAAAAGGTCATGAACTGGGTAAGTTCAAAAGAAGAAAAGAATCCTTACATCATTTGTGTTCCTAATCCTATTCTCTTGTGTCGACTTTCTGTGGATCGAATTCCTCTGGCTGGGCTTTACGTCTTCAGCCATCCAGATCCTCTGAGCCCGAGCTCTAGTCTGCGCATTCACCAATGCCTGCATGCACCTGAGTGTAGCTGTTGCCTGTTTCCTCACCAGTTGACCCCTCACGAGTGCCTGCAACTTCACTAAGCCTTTCAGTGCACATAATGCTTTCCTTGCCTGTTAAAAATACCAAAACCAAACACGCAATTCATCATTTTCATCTCTGAAGCTTTGGTTTTTATAATTTCAGTTTAGAGACTGATGTGTTCACTAGACAAGAACCGATGGAAATTCAAGTATTGCTTACCAAATAAGATCGAAAGACTGATTGAATTTTTACGGCAGCATCCTCTTCGATTGTACTGTTTCTCCTGGAGGTGTAAGCAGTTAGACGGATCACAGCAGCTGCAGCCTGTGCAGCGGCCACAGTTGCATCCGCAGCAGCTGCCATAGCCATCGCGTGCATTTTCTGTTCATTCTCTGAATCCAACGTTCCCTGCACCGCAGCTGGCTGTGTGGTGGCGATTGGTTCTGTAGAATTCGAGTCCTTGGGAGCAGCTGCTGTGGCTGGTGATCTGCGAAAACTCCATCTTCTTTTTTCTTTTGGAGTAGTTGGTGGGATTGAGCTTGGGGTCACTGGATTCTCAATAATAGGTGTTGAATTCTGTTGAGTTGTACCCTTCTTCTCCTTCTCCTTGTCTTTCTTCCCTGTCAAGAAACTTTTAAGCCATTTTCCAGACTTCCCCATCTCTGTCAATTCCTCCTAAGATACCAACTTATCTCAGCAAGAACATATAACTAAGCACCAAATGAGATTCAGATCTCTCTTCTGTCTACAGTTTGGCTTTCAACACCATAATAGTCCGACTATTTAGTACAGAATTTAATCACACCCATATTTCGACAGCCTGACTCTTACTGTTTTATTATTTTTCTCCTGTAAGCACCTTTTTTAGAGGTTGATATGATTTTTGAGCTTTGTTTTTTTAGCTAAAAAGTCTGCAAGGGAGATAATTAGAAGCAGAGAGGAAGTTCCTGGCAGAGATGCCTTGCCTTCGATGGAATCGGGGCTCATACTTGTATAGCCATTATGGACTGAAAGGGTGTATTGGTAACTAAAATCGTGTTACACAGGCAATTAAGAAATGGGGGAGTTGCAGAATACCATGTGAAAAGTAGTCAAGAACATGCAGACTCCTTGTAAAATACTCATCTCAGGGTGGGAGGACTTGTCCACTTTGGGTCACGGAACCTAGAGCTCGTGGGATGGTGGGGTCCTTAGAGTAGTTTAGTAAGGGCCGGGGTGCACGTGCTTATCTTATCCCTGCTGGTTGATTCTGTAACTGTCTTTTTTGCCAAGTTTTTTTTTATCCTATCCTTAGAGTAGTGTAGAAAGTCATGTATTTTTCTATGTGCAAGTTCCATGATTAATTATAAACTTATCTTAATATCTCAATAGATTAAAAATAAGATTGATCGAATTAAAGATAAAAGGATAGTGATAAACCAAACAAGTAGACTCTCACCATGCCTGCATCCTTCTCTCTCTTGACATTCATTTTATGTTCTGATTGCTCCTTCCATGCACTGAAGACAAATGCGAAAAAAGAAAACCGTGTTTTATAGTCTCGAACTTCTAAATAATCGGAAAGGACACTGAAGCCTCGTTAAAAAAAAAAGGAAAAAAAAAGGCTGAAGCCTCATGGACTCATAGCGGTTGGTGCATTAAAGATGCTATAGAGAGTAGTACATAGAAGAATAAATATCACTTGATGGTGAAAAGATTAGTTGGCGTTCACATGGCGTGTTTATTATATACTTCGAGAAGTTGATTGTTTCGGGGAAACACCGTCGTGTCGAGTCTTCTTCATTCTTCCTATCTAGCCACTTTGAACCTTGGCAGGAACGCTAGTAACAAGATGACAAGACATGCGGAACTCTTGTCAGGTGTACAGGAGTTCGATACATTCGCTCTAATACTCCTCCACGTGTAAACGGTACGTGTTTATGTTTACGGATGAAAAAACACCCTCTCTCCACTCCATTTTGTTAAGAGTAATAAAGCATAGCACTACATATACATCTTACAAATCCTCCCTGGAGTTTGATGGAAAATTAACTGTGTGAAATTAGTTGGATAGAAAAAAAAATCAAATTTCAATATTATTTTATTATACTGCAGAAAGAGTTAGCAAAGCAAATTAAGAATTTAAGTTATCTGTGAGATTTTGCAATCCCATGTGACTTAGAGTTGAATATGAAGCCCCTTACAATTTTATCTTTATAATTACTTAGTTGTGGAATTTAATTTAATTTAATTTTTTTATTAAAAAAAGGGGGCATGATGATGGCATTAACAGGGTAGCTCGAGTTCTTGATACATAGCATTAAAAGGGAAAATAATAGTCTTTTCATGAAAAAATAATTTGTGTTGTGACTTTGTGATGGTATAGCATTATTTCTACTTTGGCTTCCATCACATTTTAGGTGTATGCAGTATACTCGCTTAAAAATATTTCCCCCGGGCTAAAACATGAATTTGGGAAGTAAAATGAGTAAAGCCCAATATTAGAAAGGCTAAACAAGCCCTAACCAGGCCCAAATAATGACCACCAACCCAAATCCAGCCCGCACCTGGAGTGTGCACTGTGCTATTTAAGTATTCCTGCCAAAAACGGTGCTACCAAATCAGCTAAGCGGCTTGTGAGTCAAAGCTCGGCTCGCTCAAGTGTTTACTCGAATTCGTAGTTTACGCGAATTTATTTTATATATAAATGAGTTGAAATTAACTAAACTTCGAAGGCTCATAACCCAACTTAATTAGGCTCCTAAGCCGTCTTATAGAGAGACTTATCTAAGAAATTATTTATAAACTCGTAAAAACTTATAGGGATAAACAATTTGTGTAACACTTCATAAAATAAACTAACTTAATAGATGACTAAAAACACTTCTATAGAATAAAATTTAATAAGAAATGTAAAAGTTAAACATACGTGCTGATGAAACACTTAAAAGATGTAAATATATTATTTTTAAAATTGAATGAGATATATTATAAACATATTTTTAAGATATTAAATAAAATTTTCACGCATGTTAGATTTTCAGTCTATCGAGTTTATATATTTACTAAACAAAAAAAATAACTTATCCAAGTAAATCTTATTCTAACAATTTTTAAACCACATTAGTTTACTGTTGGTTATTATGATCAACCATGATAAATTATAGTGATATTTAATGTTATTGTTCAGTTATATTTTTAAATATTTTTTAATTTTATTTTTAGCTTTAAGTTTTCTTTTATGTTTTTAATCATTCATTTTAATGTATTGATATAAAAAATAAATTTTTAAAAATAAATAATAAATTATTTTAATATATTTTTAAATAAAGAGAAACAACAATTACCTCTGTCCCTCTTCTCTCCGGACTAAGTATTATATTCTACGTTTATCATGGACATAAGCATAGTTTGAACTTTGTTAAAACTAGAAGAGGCAACTATGAGCACGTTCAAGCTTGATTCTATTCATTTGAAGCCCTACCTGCCAAGTTTGGCAGCAGTGAACATGTTAAATACATAGCTAGGATTTCCTAGTGTCTGACTTTTAGTCACTTGTGTCCATTTGCACCGGCCATTACAAAGACATGATCTGACCACATTCACATGCTTCGTTAGGGTTTCCACATGAAGTTAACCCCAGACTCGTGATCTATGGTTTAGACGACAGCGTATAAGGTTTATTAATCGTGGAATGTTGGTGACACGTACACGATCAAAACTCCAATTTTGGCCGGTCATCACATTAACATTCCAACATTAATCACCCAACTGTATTAGTCAGCTTTCAATTGTTATGGTTGCAAAAGTGTTGACTTTTTGCATAAGTTTTCGTGCGCCGTTGCGATTCTGCAAAAGTTACTATGCTAGTCTCTCTCTGAGCAAGCTACATTTCAATCACTGAACTTTCGATGCAAGAAAACAATCATGCTCGTGTAAGAGAAATCAATATTTTGCTCACGAATAGACTAATTTGGACCACATTGATATCTCTTTGTTAGAATTTGAATCGCAACAATGGAACCGCACCGCACGGGAACCAGGAATATGCATGTGGTGACATCTGAGTGGCCGCAAAACCATAACTGCCCTGGATCCTCTGAACCAAAATCCCAACTGCCCAGTTTAACTGAGCATGAACATTTATTAGGGTCCCCTCGGGAAGCCACGTTCTCACGTAGCTTTGGCAAACAAGATTAAAAAAGTCTCGCGTGGGATCCAACGGAAGAAGCTTTCATTTTTAAAGATCCTCGATCCTACTTTTAAACTTCACAAATTCAAGTACACCTCTCACCTCACCATATCTGTGTCTGATTCTCTACCAAAATCCCAACTGCCCAGTTTAACTAGAGCATCAACATTTATTAGGGTCCTTCGGGAAGCCACGTTCTCACGTAGCTTTTGGCAAATAAGATTAAAAAAGTCTCATGTGTGATCCAACGGAAGAAGCTTCCATTTTTAAAGATCCTCGATCCTAGTTTTGAACCACAAAAATTCAAATACACCTTTCACCTCACCATATCTGTGTCTGATTCTCTATTGTTTCCAGAGATGGCTTATGCTAGTACCAGTATTGCCTGGATTGCAATCATTTTTCTTTCGCAACATTTGATTGCTAGTAGTGACCTTTTATCTCCCCTGCTGTCCCCTATCTTTGGTACTTGTTCTTCGATCCTTGATCACCATCTCTTACTCTTGACTTCTTGATAATTAATTAGCTTCTTCCTTGTTCATTTTTCTTTAACTCGTTTGCACAGCTGTCGATTTTCTTTCATGGGTTTCGCTGATCACCATCTCGTACTTTGGACTTCTTGATGATTAATTGGCTTCTTCTTTATTCATTTTTCTTTAACTAGTTTGCACAGCTGTCGATTTTCTTTCATGGGTTTCGATGGATGTTAATGACGTTTATCAACAGAGTTTTCTTGGCTTTTCATTTTGACTGTGATTTTGGCTATAACATCATCTTATTGTGTTTTTAATCTTGTTTTTGATTACTAGATGATGTGTGCAAAAAAGTGGAATGTGGGAAAGGAACTTGCAAGCCTTCTGACAATAGCACTTGGTTTTATGAATGTGAATGTGATCCTGGGTGGACGCAGACTCGCTTTGATCAAGATGATCATCCCCAGTTTCTTCCTTGCGTAGTTCCCAATTGTGAGTTCTCTGTTTCTTCTTTTGTCCCCTGCCCGTAATCATGGGAGTACGTACACACCTGTTCAAATATGAGTCCTCTGTGTTCATTTTGATGATTTAGCTCGCTCTGGTTTGTCCATGCTGGGCAAAACATGGTAAATTGTTACATTTACAAATTGTTTGAAATCGAAGATCACTACGAGTAAGAACAGAGTAAAATCCGTGTATAAGTTATGCTGATTTGGAAGTCAATGTACTTGGACCAAGACTGGGTTAAGATAATATTGTTTTTACGAGGGAATGTAATTAACTAAAACAAATCAAACAAAATCTTAATTTGGAAACCAAATATTATTTTATTTGAGTTGGTAATGTATGCCAATCATAACCTTTCAAAAACGTTCTGAGATGTCTAAATCACTTAAGAGAGAAAACCACATACTAATCAAGGGTTGATGGTGATATTTGCCATCATCGTTGAGTCAAAGATTAGCTGCTTCTTTAATTATCTTCAAAAAATGTTGGATAAATAGAATGAAAGATTAATGTGATCCGTAACATTTTCTTGTGATTCAATTTCGTGAACAACTTTTTTGCAGCCTTGACACTTGAGAATTGTGATCGATTGCTTGATTCTGATTTTATCAGGTACCGTGAACTTCTCGTGCACAGCAGCACCCTCACCTGTTCAAGAGAAAGCAAGCAGAGATAATCAGTCAATTTTCGATCGTAAGCCCTGTTACAGCCAAAACTTCATACTGTCGTTTGTTGTTTTCTTAATATATTCTTAGGCTTTTTGGTAAATTTGTTTTTGTAGCCTGCTTTTGGGCTGATTGTGGAG